TAAGCCATGACTTTAAAACAACGGCAAATCGTGATGCATCCGCAGCTAAGGCTTTTCGAATGCTACGAGCACTTCGAAGGCCTTTCAAACGATTGGACGAGGATATATTCCAAGTACTCTATGCAACATACGTCAGACTTAATCTAGAATGCTGCATACAAGCGGTGGGTCCATGCTTCAAATAGGAGGCACATACCCTAGAATGACTACAGAGGGTAGGAACCTAATTAATTAGTCGTATCTCGCACCTTCCTTATGATAAGAGGATGGAGCATTTAAATCTCTTACCATTATCATACCGAAGGAAGAGGCCGCTTAATGTTGGCATGATGTATACTGAACGGCGATTTAGGGATTGCTCTTTCAAACCTTTTCCTTCCCGCTAGGATACATCTACGAGGTCACCACAAGAAGGTGCTCAAACCGAGGTCAAACAAAATACGTGTGGAATTCAGATTCTCTCACCCGACCGAAAGCTGCTACCTTGACGTGGTGGTCGGGCTTGGACACCGCAATGACCTAATCAAGCCATACTGGCTGAGACTTATGTCTCTTGAGGTTCTACCATGCCAGGCAGGTTGTTTGGATAGCGGTTAAACAAAAAGCAGCTACCCAATCCAATATCATGATTCAAACAAATTCACAAAATATCATGCCGGATCGGCCGTGGCCCGGATTAACAACGACCGCGCTTCCTGCTGCCGTGTCACAGGGCAGGAGTGATACGTATGCTACTGAGACACACCAAACAAAAGAGAACAAACAAAAACAGGCCGCGTGTGACCGGCCTCAAGCAGTTGTCCCCTGGGCTCTGCGGTCACGCAACCAACTTCCACGGTGTGGGCAGCCGGGAAGTAACAAACGCCCTCACAATCCTAAATGCACACAAAACCTCTCTAATCCTCACTTATCTTAGTCTTCATCTCTATTACCTTACCTTCCTCCCACTGATGCAACTCCTCTACTTGATGGCTCCTCACTCCCTCTTCACTCTGTGTCCACTAAAAACGACGGAAGCCAAAAAACCACCCCCGATAGTCTCCTAAAGCCACGCCACCAATTTCATATAGGAGCATTTAATGTTAGGACACTTTGCCAAATAGGACAACAAGCATCACTAGCTAAGACCCTGGCATCCCGAGCCATTGATGTATGCTGTGTTTCAGAAACACGCATACAAGACCCAAGTGTGGTTATTCACCTAACCCCACCTGGCCAACAGGATGAATCTGCAAAATTCACCTTGAGGGTGTCAGGAGATGCCACAGCTAGTTCACGAGGATTAGCTGGCGTAGGGATAGCTTTGAGTACTAGGGCAGAAAAGACATTACTTGACTGGATCCCGGTAGATAGCCGAATGTGTGCTGTCCGTCTGAACGGATCAGTAAGAAGGAGAAAGGACTGCACTACTCGCCGATGCCTTTTCGTAATCTCCGCCTACGCCCCCACTGACTGCAGTTCGGATGAAACGAAGGATGAGTTCTACCAAAAGCTGTCTAGTTTGGTGCGAAAGGCTAAACGCTCAGATATAGTCGTTCTAGCTGGTGACTTTAATGCTCAAGTAGGGAAATTGTGTCAATCTGAGAAGGATGTCGGTGGCACCTATGGAGTTCCGTGCCAGCGAACCGACAACGGTGACCGTCTCCTACAGTTCTGTTCAGATAATCATTTGTTTCTTGTAAGCACTAACTTTAAACACAAGGAGAGACACTGTTTGACCTGGCGACCCCCATCATCAAACCAACGCTGGACACAAATAGACCACATAGCAATAAGCTATCGTTGGCGTGGGTCGGTAGGAGATTGTCGCTCCTTCTGGAACACGTGTGTAGATACCGATCACGCACTGGTCCGGGCTCGTGTGTGCTTACGACTGAACGGACGTAGGAAACAGCTGGCGGTAAAACCATCACGTCCCCAGCTCGATCAGGAAACTAAATCCCTATTTGAGGAAGAACTAGCTAAACGCATATCTGAGTTCGACAGCTGTGCTCACCCTGGAGAAGCCTGGAAGAATATTCAGTCAGCTATAGATACAGCTGTAAAAGCTGTGAATAAGGTAAATCCAAAGGTGAGTAAAAACCACTGGATTTCGACTGCCTCATCCGAACTGATAGATGCTAGAAGACTTATTCCGGCGAGCTCCGAATTCAATGAGGAGCGAAAGCTGCACAAAAGGAAACTTACTAAAAGTCTCCGCAAGGACCGTGAACAGTGGTGGCTGACAAAGGCAAAAGAGATGGAAAAAGCATCGGCGATAGGCAACACTAGGCAACTCTTTAGACTCATCAGGGAAACGGGTGGGAGAAGGCAAATCATAAGTGAGACTATTTCTGAGAAAAATGGCTCCTTAATTAGCTCTCAGGATAGACGCCTTGAACGCTGGAAAGAACACTTTGAGGGACAATTTAACTTGCCTACAGCCACACTGAACCTCCCCAACATCCTGCACACACCCGAATGGGATATAGACACTGGTCCGCCGTCTGTAAGTGAGGTCACAAAAGCTATCAGTAATTTGAAACGAGGCAAAGCGGCAGGACCCGACGGAATTATTCCGGAGGTGTTTAAATATGGGGGTGACATACTAGTTTGTAGATTAACTGAGGTACTAGGCAAAGTCTGGGAATCAGAGACAGTTCCATCAGACTGGGGTAAGTCACTTATTATACCGATATTCAAGAAGGGAAACAAGTCCTCGTGTGATAATCATAGGGGGAACATAGTCTCTAAAATCCTAGGCTCAGTAATCATGCATAGACTAAGCAGAACTCGGGAGGAACAGACAAGGGAAAATCAAGCAGGCTTTAGACCAGGTAGAGGGTGCATAGATCATATCTTCACTCTTCGACAGATTCTAGAACATAGACACACTTTTCGGCGTCCAACAATTGTCATATTTCTTGACTTGAAGGCGGCCTTCGACTCCGTGGATCGAAAGGTACTATGGCAATGTCTGACTGTGAAGGGAGTGCCAAGAAAGTACATTGCACTAATCAAGGCACTCTATTCAAACTCACGTAGTCGTGTAAGGGCTTATGGGGAATTGTCATCTGAATTGGTAACAACCAGTGGTGTCCGACAGGGATGTCCACTTTCCCCATTTCTGTTTAACTTCATCATAGATATGCTGATGGAAGTATCCTTAACTGAACGTAACGACTTAGGAATCGACTTGTTACCAGGGAATAGTCTTATGGACTTAGAATATGCAGATGACATAGTCCTGTTAGGGGAGGATGCTGACAAAATGCAGAGTCTTCTGAACACCTTGAGCAGCAATCTTCGTATGTTTGGCATGCGATTCGCCCCTGTAAAATGTAAGATGCTGCTACAGGACTGGACTACGTCAACTCCTAGCTTAGTGATAGGGAGTGAAGTGATAGAACATGTTGACCACTTCACCTATTTGGGAAGTTGTATTAGCACCAACGGACTGATTGGCGACGAAATCTCAGCAAGGATCCAAAAAGCTCGAGCTGCTTTCGCTGACTTACACCATCTCTGGCGTAGGCGTGACATCCGGTTATCAACCAAGGGACGTGTGTACTGCTCATCAGTTCGCTCCGTCCTTCTCTATGGCTCTGAAACATGGCCAATACGCGTTGAAGACATGAAAAGGTTGACTGCTTTCGATCATAGATGTCTGCGATCTCTTTCTCACGTTAGGTGGTTTAACAAGATAAGTAATGTTGACGTTAGGCGTAGAGTGTTGGGCAAAGAGGGAAAATCAATCGACGAGGCTATAAAGTTACACAGATTGAGATGGCTAGGTCACGTGCTGCGCATGCCTAACCACCGCCTCCCCCGACGGGCATTACTAGCTGATATAGGTGCAGGTTGGAAAAGAGTCAGTGGTGGCCAAACAAAAACATGGCTCATCAATCCATGAAATCCTTGACAGTTAAACTGAGTCAGGTAGGGAGATGCAGACTCCCGGGTTGGGGCCCTCGGGACTCTAGGAATCAATGGCTGGAGACAATAGGTGACATGGCTCAAAATCGTTGTCAATGGCGCAGATGTATTCAGTCTCTGTAATCTTTCATATTTCTTTCTACAATTACCCATTCTGTTTCACTCTTAAACTTGTCAGACTGTATTGATTCTCTTCACTCATCTTCTTGTCTACCTTGTGTGCCAATTGGAACGTGGCAACTCGAACTGCTGCACTTCGGTGCCAAGTTCTATGATGAATCCAGACAGACAGGCAGACTCTCTCATTGAGGGGTCAACGACTGGAACTCCTTATCGCTCCATCAGTGAACGCTTTCAATGAGAAACTAGATCTCTGCAGACACATATATCGCGAAGTTGAACATAGGCAATAAGAGATTTCTATCCTTATAATCTGAATGTAGCTACTTACCAGGAAAGTGTGAATAAGAAAACAAGTAAAAATAAATGTCATCAATTCTAAATCCATCCAAAATCGTGAACCTATCCCTAATCTTAATTATGAGCCTGATCCTAAACCTAACGCCAACACATTGTCCAAACAGTACTTAAAAAAGTGATTCGGGTGAAACTTGCTCGTAAGTTTGTGAATAGCGTTGATACTTCAGCTGTGATAATGACAGGTGCCTTCAGCCAACGAGGAGCATGCGTTCAGGAGGGTTGGCGCTTTTCGACTCCGCTGAACTGCGCCTCCTCAACCAGTTATGAAAACCTAAAAATGTCTGAAAGATTTCCCTAAGGAACCCTGATATTTTACAAAGCCTTCAGCCAATCAAATTTCTCATAAAACTGGGTTTAAATCTGACGTCATTTGTCGCAGTTATTTCTCAATTTATGTCTTTCTCCCCCGAAAATGCTACCGTGTACATGTACACAGTTTATCGAGGTCAGAATACCGGTGGCCACTTGAATTAGTTTGCAGATCGATGAAAAATGACTACCATCACTATAGCTCAATAGAAATATTTTTAATTTGGACAGTGGCTAACTTCTTATGCCACAAATTGACAGAAACTGAAACCATTTCTCACGAACAGAGAACTCACTTAGAGAAAGGTTACGCACGATTGAATTTTAGCGCCGTTTCAAAACTTCAATATCCAATATCCTGATGACGAGCTAGTATAAACCAGTGATTTCTTTGAGCTCGCTTCTTGATTGTGAGGTAGAGGTTCCAGATCTTCGGTGAGCTTCTGCGTAGTAAGTCCCGACACTCGACTGCTTTAGCTCTGGTAGACTCCAGGAGGAGTGGTGCGGGGATTGGTCGAGATGTGGTTTGTAGTATGCAGTATGTTAGGACTGTATTGCTGCCGTGAATGGAGTTTGACCTAACTCCCCTTGGTCATTCGGTGTAGTCATAAAAGCAGAATAGTAATAATAATAATAATAATAGGTTGTAGTGTAGATAATATAGGTTGAGATAAGTGGAATAATAAAGGTGACCTAAGGAAAAGATAGAGTGAGAGAAGGCAGAATAGGTCGTGGGGATTTAGTTAGTACGCTTATTCATTGACAGTTTGGTTTCAAATTTTATGAGGATAAGCCATTGAGACACAAACCTTGCATTTCTGCATGATTGTCTAGCTTCCGCTTAAAAATCTCCACAGATGGCGCTGTAGTCACGGCCGCCGGTAAAGCGTTCCAGAGACGGCAAACACGAAGCGAAAAGAAATGTGATCGCACTCGAGTCTTTGGTCTCTGGTGTGCTATCCTTAGCGGGTTACCTCGTGGAAGCCTATAATCGCTTAATGGCAGGATGCTTTTATTTGGGTGGGCCTGGTCATTTAGGATCTTGTAGACGGTGATGAGGTCTCCCCTGTGCCTACGGTAACTGAGTGTGAAAAGACCTAATTTCTTTAGTCTTTCCTCATATGATTTGTTGCGGAGGCCGATCACCCATTTTGTCGCTCGTCTCTGGACACTTTCTAGAATGTTAGCATCCCTTTTGAGTAGCGGAGGTGCAATGATATTATGCACCTCAAGGTGTGGCCTCACATATGCCTTGTATAGCCTTAAGAACAGTTCGGGAGTGAGAGCTCCCAGCTGCCTGTGCATAAAGTGTAATGTTGCGTAGGCTTTGGCGACGTCCCTCGAGTAATTTCCACTGGTGTCTAGCTTTTCTGTTAGAATAAGACCTAGATCACGCTCTGATGGAACACAACTCAAGTTCTGGCCACCAAGGGTGTAATTTACACTCTGTGACCTGCCGGAATGAAGTTGCACTACTTTGCACTTCTTTAGGTTGAAAGGCATTCCGTTAGCCAAAGCCCAATTTCCCAGAGTTTGCAGGTCAGCCTGCAATCTATCTGAGTCTTCCGATGAGTTTATTGCTCTCCAAATCTTTACGTCGTCAGCGTAAAGAAGCGCAGAGCAGTTTAGTTGGGAGGGCAGGTCGTTGATAAAAATCAAAAACATCAACGGCCCTAGGATAGAACCCTGAGGAACCCCTGATGCCGAGGTGTGCCAAGATGATCGGATGCGGTTGACTTTGGTGCAGAATTCTCTCTCGCCTAAGTAATCTTTCAGCCATGCGAGAAGTGCTCCAGAAACACCCGCCTTGCTTATTTTGTGAAGGAGCAGACCATGGTGAACTGTGTCGAATGCTTTCGCAAAGTCGAGAAAGATCACGTGGGCTGGTACCTTTTTGTCCCAGGATAGTGTCCAATCGTTCCAGGCTAGTAGAAGATTCGTCACGCAGGATCTTCCCCTCCTGAAACCGTGCTGTGCTTCGTGAAGAAGGTTAGTCCCATCGAAGTATTTTCTCATGTGGTCGTCAATGAGACTTTCCAATATCTTCGATACCACTGGAAGTAGAGCAACTGGTCTGTAACTGGTCACATTCTGCCGGTCACCACCCTTGAAGATAGGGGATAGGATTGCACGTTTCCATTCACATGGAAGTTTCCCTACATCAAGGGAGTGTTGGAACAGATCACTTAGGGGTTGACAGAGACTTTCTGAACACTGCTTCAGGACAGATGGTCTGATGTCATCACAACCTGAAGACTTTCCCGAAGCCAACCTTCCCAATTTTGCAAGTACCATAGCCGGGGTAATTTGAAATGTACCCAGCAGGTTTTCGTGTGTTGGTTTTGCGATGTAATCTGGATGTTCTGTGGGGTAATATCCTCGTTACTGTTTAGTTGCCTGTGAAAGGCTAGGCTGAATGTCTCTGCCATTTCAAGACTAGTAAGAGATTTCCCATCAGAACCCACTAGATTGCATGCTCCCTGGTTGGTCGGTTTTCTTTCGGCCATAAACCTGTATAGGCTTTTGGGGTTCACGAGAAGCTTATTGGCGAGGTCTCCCTGAAATGTCCTTCTATCGCTCCGGACTCGTATGTTACATCGATTCCTGAGTTCAAGGTACACTTCATGTTCGGGTTGACTCTTCGATCGTCGCCACGCAAACCAGGCTTTTCGCTTCGCCTGCAGAAGGCGTTGTGTCCCCCTTTTAGCCATGATCGTTGCTTCCTAGCTTTTGGTGTGACTAAAGGAACAGTGTCTGAGACCGCCTGGTGAATGATCTCCTTTACCACTCTCCAGTGTTCTTCTACTGTTAGCTCTGTCCATTTTTTAGGCCAGTTTGCTTCAGACAGAAGTCTTCGCATTTTGGTGTAGTTGGCTTTGTTATAACACAGATAGGGCTGTGTATTGTCCCACTGTAAGCGCTCGCGGAGGACTATGTCGAATACTATGACCGCGTGGTCACTACTACCTATGGGAGTCGTGATCTGAACGTTTTCCACTAGTAGCTGGTCACTAGTGAGCACGTAATCCAGTCTAGAAGACTTCCCATCAGGGCCCCATCTAGTATCCATCTTGACATTTTCAGTGAATCCAGCCTTCCTGATGGTATGCAGCAGATTTCGATCAAATCTATCATGGGCTTTTCCCGACACCAAGTTAAGAGATGGGGCATTGAAGTCACCAGCTATGACAATTTGATCATAACCCATGTCTTGAGTTGCTGAAATTGTATTTAGCAGTACCTGGTTGTGGTCTGCTCCACATGAAGGTGATCGATAAATGCTGCCCACTAGATATTTGCAGTACCCAACGGTGAAGTGGCACCATATGGAGTCAGGGAGCTCTGTGAGGGGAGGGTCCGTCGCGTGAACACATCTGAGCTGTTTGTCGACGTATATGGCGACTCCACCTCCTTCTTTCAGGTCCCTATCTCGCCTGACTAGGACCATATCATTTATACTGACTTCGCTGTCTGCCACCGTAGGGGTTAGCCAGGTTTCCGTCAGTATTATGATTTTGGAGTTCAGTTGTGATTGTAGGTGTCTAAGTTCAGCTATTTTGCCTCTTAGCCCTCTCACATTACTGTACAGGCAACTGGTAGTCAGTCTCACCACTTCCCCGTATTGGGGGGTAGTTGACTTGATATTGGCTATCGGTTGAGGAGTTATCCTACGAACTAGTTGGCCGATTCCCCAGGAACCGGCCTGTTGGCGTTTTTTTCTTCTAGTTCAGTTGGAGCACTCGGATGACACTGGCTATCATCGTCCGTGCTGCACCGCTGTAGTGTGACTAGGGGTTGAGGATTTTCTTTTACTACGCTTTGTTCTCTCCTTTGAGTGCGAGGCCGGCTCTCGCAGCAGCGAATGTGTTTGCTGACCTTGTCCTTGGTCTCGTACCATCTATGGAGAGCGGTAGTCAACTGGTCTTGGGAGCTGAACTTGACAGCTAACAGACGTGGCGAGTTAATTGACATAAGATGAGTGGGTCGAGGCAGTCTATAAATAGAGACAGCCCCTGAACTTCCCAGGGCCATCTGGGATGCCAACCATCTCCATTGTTGTACATCATGACAATGCTTTTCGCAGGCGTTCCCAGTTACCAGTTCGGGAATGCCATGCACAACCATGGAGGCAGAAGGAATGAGCTCTGGCGACTCCCTCGCCATTTGTCTTTCCTTCCACGGCCTGTCTGGCTTAACACGTATGTTACAGGCCCTCCCTATAGAAAGGACTTGAGAAGCCAGTAACACTTTTTCAACATCCTCGGTAGAGCCCAATGTTACCCTCAGTGGGGATGGTTTGCCTTCAGGTGCAGCAGTGCCCTTATACAATCTGCATAGATTTACTGGTTGGATGTCCAAACCCAGTGTGCTACACAAGATGGACCACTGTTCCTGATCAAATAGGGCCCTATCTTTCAGCAGACTACTACTACAGTCTGGTACATTAAAGAGGATTACACAATTTGATCTACTAACCGTGGGCTTGGGCTCGGTCCTCGCACATTTGTGATCTCCTTTAAGACCGTTTTGGTTCGTCTGGTGCGACTGGGTATTTTTTTGTGTCTCAGTGCTATGGCCAATATTACTGTCAGACGAGAGGGGTCTTTTTCCAACGACGGAAACCCGTGGTTCTCCAGCCTCTGTGTCTGGAGCGGTTATGTCAAGAGTTACAAGTTTAACCGGTGAGGATTTTGGTATCCCCGGTTTACGCGCGTTTGTACTAATTTCCGGATTGGTGGGGGTCGAACATTTCACTTTTTTCCCCGCTACTTCTGCGCCATCTTTAGTTTTCAAAGGACTACGCGAGGCTACATCAGGACGGCAACTCGGGCATATGTACCAGAACCATTGGCATGGGTTTTTACGCATAAAGTCATAATATGCTTTTGGTACCCCATTGTCGCATCTGCAATGCACCCATCGCTTGCAAAAGTTACATTCGAAAGCAGAGTCTGCTTGTTCGACAACAGAAGCGCAGACCTTGCAGTCGTCTGCCTTCTTGGGGAGCGTTCTTGTCGTCTTGCGACGTCGTGAACGTTTCTTTTTGGCCTTCCTATTTGTTTCATGGTCTACCATGGGGATGGGTGTTATGCAGTTCTCACTTAGTGCAATTTTCCCACTCGGATCTGTTAACCTAGTCGTGTTAACAGGGTTGGAGCCACATCCACTTGGCTGACTTTGCACAGCTTCACTGTAGGACTGTGGCGACATAGGTAATTTGTACGAGCTGGGAATATCAGCCCTGGTCTTCAAGACCGGTATGCGTGAGTCCATCAGCTTCACCTGTTTGCCCAGTTTGGCTGAAGCCCTGGTGACTACAGAGTATGATGTCCCA